GTTCACGGACAGCCGGCCGGGAAGGGTTAGGCTCTGACGCTGGAGCGAGCAGGAACTGGAGCCCACCGGCCACCAGGCGGCAGTGGCCGCTCAGGAAGGGAGCAGTGGGCGGTGCGTCTTCTCCAGCCACCGGGGCGCAGGTGCGACCCCGCCGCCTACGCCGGCGCACCTGGGCGCCCCGGGACCGGCCTCCGCAGGACGTCTACCGTTCAGCGACGCCCGCTTCTGCTCTTAAACAGGTCGAACCTGTCTCGACTTCACCGAGAAAACAGGTTAAGAGCACGCTGTGTGAACCCTGGAGGGCTCCGCGGAGCAGCGGGACCGGGTGGACGCGCCCCGATGATCTCAAATTACCTGGTCCTGCGCCAGAAGGCTCGGGCACAGGCATCGTCGTCAGGAAGGACGGATAAAAAGTGTGCTGGGCTTGGCCTATACTGACCCGCTGAAACCCCACAACTACTTCCGATTGTCTGAGCTACCTGGGTTACCCTCCTTTCACAGACAAGGAAACTGAGGCCCAGACAAGTCGTGACTAGCTGGAACCCACATCTTAGTAGGTGGCCAAGGGAGACTTTATTTTTTGGGCTCCAAAATCACTGCAGATGGTGACTGCAGCCTTGAAATTAAAAAAGGCTTGCTCCTTGGAAGAAAAGCTGTGACTAACCTAGGCAGTATATTAAAAAGCAGAGACATTACTTTGCCAACAAAGGTCCGTCTAGTCAAAGCTATGGTTCTTCCAGTAGTCATGTATGGATGTGGGAGTTGGACCATAAAGAAAGCCAAGCACTGAAGAATTGATGCTTTTGAACTGTGGTGTTGGAGAAGGCTCTTGAGAGTCCCTTGGACTGCAAGGAGATTCAGCCCATCAATCCTAAAGGAAATTATTCCTGAATATTCATTGGAAGGACTCATGCTGAAGTTGAAACTCCTGTACTTTGGCCACCTGATGCCAAGAGTTGACTCATTGGAAAAGACCCTGGTATTGGGAAAGATTAAAGGCAGGAAGAGAAGGGGACGACAGAGGACGACATGGTTGGATGGCATCACTGACTCAATGGACATGAGTTTGACTAAATTCCGGGAGTTGGTGATGGACAGGGAAGCCTGGTGTGCTGCAGTCCATGGGGTCACAAAGAGTCGGACATGCCTGAGCAACTGAACTGAACTGAAGGGAAATGCAACATGAAGTTGGCAGGGGGTGGGGCTGAGGAGGAGAAGGCAATGGCAACCCACTCCAGTACTCTTGCCTGGAGAATCCCATGGATGGAGGAGCCTGGTAGGCTGCAATCCATGGGGTTGCTAGGAGTTGGACACGAGTGAGCGGCTTCACTTTCACTTTTCACTTTCATGCACTGGAGAAGGAAATGGCAACCCACTCCAGTGTTCTTGCCTGGAGAATCCCAGGGACGGCGGGGCCTGGTGGGCTGCCGTCTGTGCGGTCGCACAGAGTTGGACATGACTGAAGCGACTTTGCAGCAGCAGCAGCAGGGGCTAAGGAGAGGGAGACAGTGAGCTGAGGGGCAGAAAGGCCGGAGAAGGATGCCTGCTGAGGCAGCCCACGACTGCAGGACACCCGCGTGACATGGCCCCTCTCCCCAGAGGCCTGGGCAGGGAGGCACCACGCGCCCTCTGGGAGCTGGGCCCAGGACTCGCACCCCTTGTAAACAGCTTTGGACCATGGTCTGCCATCAGCCCAGACTCTGACAGGTTCTCAGGGCCCTGGCACAGACCATAGTTTATAATGCTACACTTGTGTGATTTTCCGATTAATGTTGGCACACCCGTTCCCCAGGCCAGAAGTCCCGGGAACTCGGGGAGCAGGCCTTGGGGTCAGCACTGAGTGGGTGCTGGCCCTGTGGCTGACTCTCATGGAAGGTAGGAGTGGAACCGGAGAATAGAAGGTTCTCGGTGGCAAGGGTGCAGGGTGGGGACCTGGGGCTGCGGTTTTCATCTTGTCTCGCCTGTGCCTGTCTCAGGCCATGGCTCCCTCCTTGGACACATGTGTGTCCTTTAGCTCAAGGGAGCTGGAGGGCTGCTTGGTGGGTGTCCAGGGGACAAGAGTGAATGGAACCTGCGTTTCCTGTGGCTCCTGCATTGCAGGCAGGCTCTTTACTGATGAGCCATCGGGGAAGCCCCCAGATGTGACAAATGGGTGGGTAGGGACAGGAATTAGTGCCTAAATAAAATCAACCAACAGGAATGCCTACATACTACTGCCTGTGATTCTGCCAGATGGTAGTAATGGGCAGCAAACCTGTAGAATAGAAAACCTATAAAACAGGCCTCAGAGCACCATTCTTTTGTCAAGTTGTGATGAAGGATACCTACAGATTCAGGGCAGAAACTAACCAGCCAGAGAGTGTGCGTAAATTTCTTAGGTCTGGCAAACAAGATGTTTATAACACACGTGAGAGTACAATTCTAAGTGGCAGAGACATCAAGACTGGGCTTGGAGGAAGATCCGGGTTTTTCTCCATTTACAAAGCCCATGAATCTAGCACTATACTGGATTTATCCCAGCCTCAGAGAAGCAAAGACCTCCCACAATGGCTCAGCAGGTAAAGAATCCACCTGCAATGCAGGAGATACAGGACACACGGGTTTGATCTCTGGGTTTGGAAGATCCCTTGGAGGAGGAAATGGCAACCCACTCACACATTCTTGCCTGAAAAATCCCATGGAGAGAGGAGCCTGGTGGGCTGCAGTCCAAAGGCTTGCAAAGAGCTGGACATGACTGAGCCTTAGAGAAACAAAAGACATGGATCCTGAATCTTATGAAATCCAGAAAGGGGAGGACTCAGGAGTCCAAAGAGTGGCATTTTGGGGCTCGTCCTGTGGGAGTGGGGCTGGGGCTATAAGTTTCTGTTCATTGCACCAAGAAGCTCTGGGCTAACCCTACCCATCCACCTTCAAGTCCCTGGATGGCTGAGAAAAATCAGCCGTGAACACACAGTGGCACCCACAGGAGCCTCCTGGGTCATGCCCTTACTTGCCTGCCGCGTTCACCTGTGCCATGCTGGGTTTCTCTTTTGTGGCCACTTCTGCCATCTGGTCTCATTTTCTTGGCTCAACCCTTGGGCTTTAGAAGAATTTCCACACGTCTTGGCTTTCTCCTTCTCCTCTCTCCCCCTAGGGAGGACAAGGACACCTCCACCTAGCTTTGATTCCCAAGGACCCACCAAGCAATTCCTTTGTGGAGCTACCTAGCCAGCCTATAAACCAGGGGACAGTGGGAAGGGGTGCCTGGGAGGGGGGAGGGGGGAGAAAGGCGGGTGGAAGGCAAGGGTCTGCAGCTTGAGGGCGGACCCCATTCCCACTAGACAGCTGACTGTCTGAGCTCTCACTGTCCCTTCCAGCACTGGTGCCACTAACGGCTCAGACCTACTCGCACGCCTGTGAGATGATTCAAGACTCTGAATGTGAGTAACAAGAAAGCTTTTCCAGCAAGTTCTTTAAAGAGTAACAAAACAAAAGAGCAAGGGAGGAAATTTTATAGAGAAAGCAGGACAGGGATTCTGAATGTAATTAATGGCTTCAGACAGATGCACAAGTGTATAGCCTTTGTTAAAAAAAAAAAACAACAAAAAGAAAACCAAAGAAGGTCAAAAACTTGATTGCTAAGTTAGGGAACACCAAAGGTCAAAAATGGAATATTCACATTCTAGGAAAACTAAGCAAGGAATTATCATAAAAGGACAAAGAAATAGAAAGCATGAAATAAAAGTCAAGGGACACGAAGGATACATAAAAAATATTGTAAAAGCCATCACACAGGAGGTCTGGAAAGAGAGAAAAGAGAGATGTTCTAAAAAATGATGGAGGACTTTCCCCCCAAACTGAAGAAATGCAAGAATGCTGAATCTGAAGGCCCCTCAGGAGATCAAAGCGGCAATAAACAGTATCTTCAAAGTTCCGAGTGAAATCAGTTGAAATCTATAACTTTATATGAAGTCTAACTATTACGACGTTATCATTTGTTGTGATGGCAAAATAAAGACATTTCCAGGCATGCAAGAAGCCAGATATTTAAGGCCCACAGACATTCTCTAAAAACACACAATTGCTGGGCAATGAGCTCTATGGAAGAGAAATAGTGATTGGGTAAAACAGTTAAAGCTTCTTTTTTTTTTACATATAAATGAGTGTTGGGACTTTGCTGGTGGTCCAGTGGCTAAGACTCCACGCTCCTAATGCAGGGGGCCTGGTTTTGATCCTGGATCAGGAACTAGACCCCACATGCTGCAGCGAGACCCAAGACCTGGTGCAACCAAAGAAATAAGTAAAATAAATACTTAAAAACCAGAGTCAATGAGTGTTGCTTGTTTAAAGTAAGGTATTTTAAATGACCGGAGAAGGCAATGGCAACCCACTATAGTACTCTTGCCTCGAAAATCCCATGGATGGAGGAGCCTGGTAGGCTGCTGTCCATGGGATCTCCAAGAGTTGGACACGACTGAATGATTTCACTTTCACTTTTCCCTTTCATGCATTGGAGAAGGAAATAGCAACCCACTCCAGTGTTCTTGCCTGGAGAATCCCAGGGACGGGGGAGCCTGGTGGGTTGCCGTCTATGGGGTCGCACAGACTTGGACACGACTGGAGCGACGCAGCAGCAGCAGCAGCAGCAGCATTTTAAATGACAATGTGATACACCACCTGGAACACTGACGGTGTCCTCAAACTCTCAACAGTCATGCCCTGTGCTGGGTGAGCATCCAAAAGCGGTGCATGGATACCTCTTCCAAACGATGGGTGCTGGGCTGTGCGTCTAGTTTGCAACATCCACACCCTGGGAAACACAAACGTTCGTGACACAGCTGCAGAAGGAGCGTCTGCACGGCTGGAGGGCAGCAGCAGCGCCACGTGCTTCTGTGCGGAGGAGTTGCAGGGGCTGACGCTGAGCGGAAGGAGCCGGACTGAGGGCACAGACGCGGACTCAGACGCGTAGGCTGGGACTTTGGACACCGGGGATGACGGCAGGGCCCTGCTGTTTACCTGTGGTCGGAATGATGGCGGCGTCACAGAGGCTTGATGAGACCTGGTGGTGTTCTGTGCCGCTCTGCGTCCTGTTGGCAGCGATGTGTTCACCTTGAGAAATCCACCAACGTGTGCACCTAAGATGTGAGCATGTAAAGTATGTGTTACACTTTAATGAAAACATAGCATAATCGCGGAACACAAATTCCAGAGAACTGGTAGACGGAGCGGACAGCTGTGTTGTCTGACTTGTTGGGGTGATTTAACTACAGATAGTGGTTTCTAAATGTAACCTTAAGTAAGCACTTTTAAAGGGTGAGATAATTAAGAAAATTCAGTTGGTATAACAAAATGTAAGAAAGGGGAGAAAAAACAAAAAGTATAATACACACAAAACCAAGCCAAAAAAAAGGAACAACAATCAGTCATCACATTAGGTGTGAATGGGTTACCTTAATTAATTAAAAGAAAAACCTCTGGTTGGATAAAAGTACAAACTATGTGAAATAAATATCTAAAAGAAATAATCCAGAAAAAAGTGAACGTGAAGGAAAGAAATGCTAATAAAACAAAAAAGAAGGTAGTTTTAAATTCAGATGAAATATGATTCAAGGTCAAAGTGTTTAATATAAAAAGAAAGGGGTATGTCATGTTGAAGACAGGGTAAACCAATGATCATTTTACTGCATTTAAAGCACCACTTGTAAATATACACAGCCAGAACATGGCAGAACTACAAATAGAAAAAAACCAGATTCTCAATGTCTTAGTGCGAATTTTGACTAAACTCTCATAGAAAAAAGTAAGTAAGAAGAGGATTTGAATAAAATAAGTAATGAGCTTAGTCTAATCACCCTTCTACTCAACTGACAGAGGTTAAATATTCTTTTAACCACAAATGGAATATTCTGAAAAACTGACCTGTGCAATGACATAAGGGAAATCTTATTCAGCTGCAAAAAGCTGCTATTATTTAGGCTGATTGAAATGCAATAGAATTAGAAATTAACAAAACATCTTAATAGCTCTTGATTAAAGCAAAAATTAAAATATATAATGTGTGAACTATTTATGTCTAAATGATCACAGGCGTACCATATCACAGAATCTTTTTCTGCAACAGCAGTACTCAAAGGAATAGGTGGGCCTTATATGCATTTACTAGAAAAGATTGAAAATAAAGGAAATGAACTTTCAAGAAACTACTTAAAAAACATTAAAAAATCCAAAAAAAGCAGAATGATGTAATTAAAACTAAAGTAGAAATGACTGAGATACAAAAAATGCATCTGATCCATGAAATAGTTGCTTTGATAGATGAAGAGACAAAAGAGAACAGCTCAGGAAAATAAAGCTGTGTGTCAATCTCCATCATAAACACAAACGCAGAACACCTAAATAATGCGCCACATAGAACAGAGAGCCGAGGGTTGTACAGAGGACAGGGTTCTGTCCGTTCAGTCACTCTCGGCCTAACCGTCACTCTGTCTCTTCTCTGTCTCGGTGTGATTTCCCGGCCCTGCCTGCATCTCCCGCTCCTCTCCCTGGTAATTGCGTGTGTGTGTGCGCTAAGTTACCTCAGTCGTGTCTGACTCTTTGCAACCCCATGGACTGTAGTCTGCCAGGCTCCTCTGTCCATGGGATTCTCCAGGCAAGAATACTGGAGTGGGTTGTCCTGTCCTCCTCCAGGGGATCTTCCCTATCCAGGGATTGAACCCAAGTCTCTTACATCTCCTGCACTGGCAGGTGGATTCCTTGCCACTATAGTTGTGTATACATCTGTTTATTTTTTGCCTTTTCCGACTGTATCTCTTCTGAATGTATTTGTTTTGTGAGTCTCTTGCCCTTGTTCTCTAATTTGTCTTTTCTCTAGTTTCACATTTTTTGTTTCTTTCTTTGTGTCTAGATGTTTCTGTGAAAGCGTGTTTTCCACTTTTGTTTTTAACTTTTTTCCCCTCTATTTCTCTCTCTTCATTAAAAATATCAAAATATGTAAATATTATTTTTTTACTAACAAAATGTGTTACGTGTTCTTAATTTAAATTATGATGAACAGAACAGAACATTTTTTATAGTGTCATAGTTTAAATTCAATTGGGTTTTTATTTTTTTTTAATTAGCAAATTCGGGACTTCCCTGGTGGTCCAGTGGTTAAGACTCTATGATTCTGATGCTGGGGGTGTGGGCTTGATCTCTGATCTGGGAACTAAGATCCCACATGCCTTGAGGCATGGCCAAAAAAAACAGTTTAGCAAATTCACTTCAACAGTATATTAAGAGCCATCTCAGGAATGCAAATAGGTGTCAACTTTAGAAAAAAATCTACCAGTTTAAATCACTGCTTTTCTAGAGTACAAGAGAAACCACATAATTATTTTCATAGAGAACAAAAACACTTTTGAAAATGTTCAACATATGTACTTTTATGATAAAAGACAAAATTTATAGCAAATTATGTTCTTTCTTAATATGGTAAGAGGCATTGAAACTCTACAGTAATTGTCACCACTTGGTAATGAAATAGAGTCACTGTTACTATCATTGCACTATTCAACCTTTTTATTGGAGATTTTAGTCAGTACGAGGGAAAAATGTCATTAATACTGGAAAAAAAGAACAAAACTGAGATTATCTGCAGACCATATGATCATCTACCTAGAAAAATCTCAAGAGAATCAATTGGCAAACCAGTAAGAGTTTAGCAGTGCAGCCAGATATAAGATCAGCATAGAAAAATCAATAGCTTAATTATATACTAGCAAAAACCAATTAGAAAATGAAATGAAAAATGAACTCATTCTTAAGAGAAACAAATTCTATAAAATATCTAGAGAGAAACCTCATAAAAATGTCCAAATACTAAATAAAGAAAGCTACCAAAGTTTACTGAATGGCCTTCAAGATGAGTTAGCTATATCAGGTCTCCCATAAATTAATCTATAAATCCAAAAGAACCCCAGCTGAAATCTCAGGAAGACTGGTAATGATATATAACATGATGGTTTCTTTCTCTCAGAAGGGAAATCTCCAGAGATGGTCAAGAAATTTTAAAAGGCAGAACAACCAGGGGAGTTTCCTTGTGAGACATTCAAAATACTTGATGAAGTTATAGCAGTTAAATCAGTGGTGCGTTGCTCTAAAAATAGCTAAAGAATAGAGAAACAAATCTAGAATGTACTCTGTACATGTGGAAAATAGTTTACCATGAAGCTGGCTTTTTAAATTCAGTGGCAAAACAATGAAATCTTCAATAAAGGATAAGAACTATATAAAAATCTATATAATTGGTGGCGATATATATGAAAACGGTCTATCCGGCATAACGTGTGCTACATCACTTCAGGCGTGTCTGACTCTTTGCAACCCCATGGACTATAGCCCGCCAGGCTCCTCTGTTCATGGGATTCCAGCCAAGAATACTGGAGTGGGTTGCAGTGCCCTCCCCCAGGGGATGCTCCCAACCCAGAGATCAAACCTGTGTCTCTTAGGTCTCTTGCCTTGGCAGGCAAGTTCTTTACTACTATCACCACCTGGGAAGCCCAAAAGAACATCAATGACCAGCATGTAAATAAAAAGATGCTTAACTTTAGATATAGTAATAGTCAGGGAATTAATTGCAACTAAAATTAATAGAAAATTTTCTTCTCTCTGACACTGGTGAGAACCTAGGAAGCCTATCTTGCAGCAAACACAAGGCTTCCACTTGGAAGGTGTTTTTGTTTAATTTGGCTGAGGGGGTGCTAGAGATGATGGGAGGAAAGGGAGCGGTCCCCAGTCGCTTTCTGGCGTGGCCCCAGCTCCGCGTGGGACCTCGAATGCAGAGGAGGCCCAGGCAGCTCTGACGGAGGCCCCTTCGGCTACTCAGACCCCAGCCGGCACTCCCAGTGGGAGTGCACCTACTTCCCCTAATAGGTGCAAAAGGCTGGGAAACCACTGCGCCAAGCTGGCAGCCAGAATGACCACTAGCTCTAGGAGGAATCGTGTCAACTTGTAGCTCTTATTATGGTGCAATGTTGTTTCCTTAGTTTGTGCATACGTTTTAATGAATTCATAGAACCCATTAGGAGTCCTGTGATGGGGAGGGAGTGCGGCTGAAGACGGTGGAAGTTGGGGAGCCAGTGCCGGGATGGTCTCCCATCAGGTCTGGGAGTTGGGGCCGCAACACCTCCTCCCCTCTCCCTCACCCTTTGCTGGGCCTTCATCCCAGTTCCCAAGCCTCACACCCAAGGGCCAGGCAGACCACACAAGGAAGGCACTGAAGCTGGTGGAGCCTTAGAAAGGGCTTCATCCTCTGAGATGTTTGGTCCAGGGTTCAAATCCCGTCTCTGCAATCTCATAGCTCCTATCCGAGCCCCACCTCGGGAGGTTTCTTTGGATGCTGGATAGTGTAACAATAACTAGTGATAATTGAATGTTTCCTCTTTGTCAGGTGTTGTTCTGGGCGCCTGTGTTGTCCTGTATCAACTCAGCCAATCCCACATCACCACTACAGGTAGGTACTGTGCTTATGCCCGTTTTACAGATGGGGACACTGAGGCAGAGGGCTGCGAAGGAACTTGCTGAAGCCACCACTTGGGCAGAACAGCTGGCACTGAAGTGAAAGTCCCTCCTCTCAATTACTCAGATTCTTGACTCTCTGAACCTGGAGCGGCTGGCTCACCAGCAGGGGAGCCTAGTCAGTCAGTGACTAGGCCAGCCTGAGCACGCGGTCTGTCCCAGGGCCTGTGCCAGGTGCTAGGAACTCCGGAATGAATGAAGCGGATGAAGCCGACACAGTCCCTAGGCTTTGAAGAGTCTTTCTTGGGAGCTGTGTGGGCGGTATTGCCTGGAGATCAACCATAAACAAATAACAGGCAACAACGATCCAGAAAGTGATCTTATCAGGAGGGAAGAAAACGCAGCAGTGTGAGGTGAGAGGCGGGGGATGGGGGCGCGACATTCCAGGGGGAACCGCCGAGGCAGGTCCGGGTGGGCGGGTCCCCGAGGCTGTGGCGGTGCCCGGGCTGCTCCGCGAGCTTGGGCCTGGCTGTGCCCGCCCCGAGGTGGAGCCTCTACACGGAGCGGGGCCGGAGTCTGTGTTGGAGAGACGGGAAGCCCAGCCCAGGTTACAGCTGGGGCGGTTGGGGCACGCGCACATGTGCAACTGCGCGTGCACGTTGGTACCTGCAGCGTGTACCCGCGCGCGCGCCGTGTGCGCGGGGGCATCTAAGGAGGAACCGCTTCGCGACGAGGCAGCCATCAGCAGACCGCTTCCGCTCCGCCGACCCCGCCGCAGCCCGTGGCACACGCGCCTTCGCTGAACCAAGCCCCTCTCTTCCCACTGAGCTCGCGGTCCCCTAGTCCCCGCGGCAGAACCGTGACAGGGGCTGCCCGTCCTGGGGCCGCGCTGGGGCATAGGCTCTCTCTCGGCTCCCGGGTGCCTCTCTGGCCGGTTCTTCCCCCAAGCATCCTTTCCTGAGGCCGAAGCTGCAGGGAAAAGGAACCTGGCGTGGGGGAGGCAGGTCCCGCCTGGAGGCTTGCTCCCCAGCGACACTTCTTGGATGTCGGGAGAGCCTGCAGGGGACCTGCATCGGTGGAGAGGCCTCCTGATGTTGGCGGCTGGTTCTGTCAGACCCGGGGAGTGATTGGCTGGTCAAAGCCACCCAGGCCACCCTGCCCCTCTGTCGGGGCCTGGCTCTGGCTGGGGTGACCAGTGCCACTCCAGGAAAGACTGGCTGTTGGGAGATTCTTCTGTTATTCAGAGGGACAGTGGCCTTCTGTGGCCACTCCCTCCCTCTGGGCCGAAGGAGGTGGGCACGGTGGGTGTGATGCTACTAGCCCAGGCCCGGCACCTCCACACCCACACAAGGAGAGACGTCCAACCTGCCCAGGCAGGCAGATGGGAAGCACCTCCATCCTTCACAGGACCAGACTCTCAGCCCTGAGTCCTCCCCATGGGAAGCACGTGCTCTGAGCAGGCAGGCCAACCTCAGAGAGGAAAGGAGAGAGTCCCCACCCGAACTTCTACCGAGTGTCATGCTGATGCCTGTTTCTCCGAGGAAAGAGGAGGCTGGAGAGAGGAGGTTCCCCCAACCACCAGTGTCTGCCAGGGCAGGGCAGTGGGGAGGCCGCTGCTGTCTCCCTCACACTCAGGGCAGGTGGTGCTCTGCATGTTGACCAGGCTGTGCTTCGGAGATGGGCCTTGTCAACCATCTCCACGGCTACTGCAAAGATGTCCTCCCTTGTGGGGTTGCAGAGAGCTTCACAAATTTGATGGCATTTTGGCTTTCTCCTGAGGTATTCCCCCAATAAACAACTTGCACCAGAATCCGCTACTCAGGCTCTGTTTATAGGAGAGAGATGGAGGATGGAAGGGATGCAGGGAGATTTGCTAATCAAAGTAATCTGAAGGAAACTGGCGGACGTCCCTGTCATTGTGGAGAATAAAAATCCTCTTAGGCTCCCCGCTGCCGGCCACCAGCTGCTCTCAACTCAGCAGCTCACTCTCTCTTCCACCTTCTCCTCCTCACCCCTGCCCTTCTAGGTTCCAAGAGGCTCCGAATGACCCTTACTATTTCGTAGAGCAGTTAGGATGGGAAGTGTCGTGGTCCGATTGCAGGCTGGAAAAGAATTTCCAGACACAAGACAGAGTGACAGAGAAATAAAGTTTATTAGAGTGGGAAACACTGTTAAAACAGTGGGTTGGCTCAAGGGCGAGCCAACAGTTGAACAGGGGGTCCTTGGTCCCTTTTTATACCCAGGGTGCAAGGAGCGGGACAGGGGTCTTGCCGGTCACTTGCTGATTGGATGCGGCGCGTCTTCTGGGTGAAGGAGGAGCAAGGCGAATGCCTTCCCCTTGCCGGGGTAGAAGGGGACGCAGGGCATGCCGCTCAGGAGGGCCTGAAATTCCTTACTGGCTACCACGTAGGGGAAGGGGGACTAAAAGGGGGCTATTTCTCTTTCTGTTCCTGCGTTCCGAGATCCTCCTTGGTTTCCCCCCCCCCCCCCCCCCCGTTTCTTCCTCCTTGGAACACCGCAGGGGGTGCCCCAGTTCCAGACTCCAAACTCCGCTTGGGGCGCACTTTGGCAAATCGATGTCAGCACTTCGCTTGTCACCGCGTCCATTACACGTGTGACCCAGTTAGACAGGCGTGAACACGACGCTCCGGCACGTCGCGTGTCTCCTGAATGTGAAGACCGTTTCTCGTCCTCCTGCTGGCAAGGCCCTGGCCGCCCTCCTCAGCTCTGCTCTGCTCCCTCACGCTCTCCGAGCTGGGCCCTCGGCCTCCTTCTCCCGCTTCAGGGGCCTCGCACGAATTTCCTCCTCCACCGCTTCCTCCCCTGAGAAGAGCGTCCGCCGGGTCCAGCTTCTCTCCCGCATCTCGACGTCGTCGTCTTCCTCAGCGCCGAGGACGCTCAGTCACAGGCCCGTTCTCTGCCTTTTCACCGCGAACCTGCGGCGGCTCCGCCCGCCCGGTGCGGCCTCCTTGGCGTCCTGGCCCCCTTGGCCCGGCCGCCTCGTTCACCCATCCCGCCGCGCGCTTTCTGAACTCTGACGCCGCGCCTCGTGCTCCGGGTCCGGCGGGAGGCGCTGCGCGACTACAGCCCCCACAATGCCCGGCGGCCCGCGCCGGGATTGGCTGGACTCCGAGCGGCCGCCAATAGGACGCGGCTTTGTTGGCAGGTGGCGCCGGTCCCGTCAGCGCCGGCGCTCCTGAGCCGCCTCCCGCCATGGGCATCGCCGAGAGCCGCGAGGGCCGCAGGGCGTCTTTCGGGATGGACGAGGAGGAGCGGGTCCGGGTGCTGCAGGGCATCCGGGTGAGCGGCCGGCCGGCGGGAGGGCGTTTGGAGGCGTGCCGTCGCTCGGCCGCGAGAGGACCGCGAGGGGGAGGGCGCTTCAGGCCTAGTCTCCTCCGGGTGACGGGATGGGCGGAGATGGGGGGCGGGGCTTCGTTGTCTGGACCGTGGCCCCGGATCCGCGTCCTCGCCGCCTTCGGACGACAAGGCCTGTAAGAGGGCGACGAGCTGCACCCCCTGAGTTCCGGAGCTGCGCTGATGACCTGACCGACCACCTCACGTGCCAGCCCCTCCCAACGCCCCCCCCCCCCCGGTGCCAAGTCCTTCCCACCCCCTGCCACCCGTTCGCTGGCCTCGAGGCCTCCTCGTCCGTGGAGGGGCGACCTGCTCCGCTCGCGGCCCCCGCACGGCGCTGTGTTCGCCCCTCCAGTTTCCCTCAGATCTGCTCCTTAGTTCTTGTGGTTGAGGTCTCACCTCAGCATCCCTCTGTGACAAGGTCTGAAGCGCCTGCCCACCCCCGCGGCCACACATGGGTTTTTGTCGTGGCTGTCGCTCACCACCATTTAAAACTTATGTGCAGGCTTTAGTTCTTAATTGTGCTCCTGCCGCAGTGTCTCCGCCTTGAGGCCAAAGCTCTTGTCTGACTACAGCCTCCCGAGGCTCACGTTTGAGTCCTCAGCCCGGGCGTGGGCTGTGGGACAGCCTTTGCGGGTATCCTGTCAGTTAATTCTCCACAGCCCTCTGAGAAGTCGGCTTCTGTTGGCCCATTTTGTGGATGGAGGACAGCTGAGGCACTGAGGCTTGAAGTACCTCTCACGTCAAGCTAGCCAGTTGGCACTGAGCGAGGCTGACTCCAGGAGCCCCCTTCCTCCCGCACCTGTGCCTCGCATGTCGTGGGTGCTTTTTAAGCCGGTGCTGAGTGATTAAATGGAGAACCCAGTGAGGCAGGCACCAAGTGTCCGTGGAAGGCACCCAGCCGGGCCTTGGTGAATTCACTAATTAGGGAGGTGGCTCAGAAAAGGAAGTCAGGGGCTCTGAATTCTCCAGCGATGCTCATTACCTGTGTGACCTGGAGTGAACAGCTTTATCTTTTGAGTCTCAGTCACTACATCTTAAAAAGAAAAAATGGAGACGCTGTGATAATCCTGGATGCTGCCTAGGATAAGATGACATGTGTGCATGTGTTTAGAAAATGTACAGTGTTTGTGGGGTCCTCTATTCTCTGCCTAACCTACTTAGCATATTTGGTGCTTACTGGGTGTTATCCAGTCTTGACCTGACTTGAGGCAAAGAAATGGGGAGAAGATGGCTCAGCTCCCGTTTGAGGGTTAGAAGCAGCACCTGAGTCAGGATTTAGAAAGATGCTCCAGGCTCTGTCTGGGCACTTGCCCACTGTTGTTACCTGGTTTGGGGAGTGTTGGAAAGTTTGGTCAGTCAGAGGCATCTGAGGGAACTCCTTTAAGTTGATAGAGGAGCATCATCTCTTTTGGGTTTTATGGCAGATGGATACATTTTAATTCTAGTTCTTTTAGCAGTTCTGCAAAGTAGAAATTCTCCTTAAAACTGGAGAATCAGGCTTAGAGAGGTTAGGGAACTTGTTCAAGGTGTTACTTCTGGGACTTTAACCCAGATCTTTCCAGGACAAGCAACAGCCTTTTCTCACAACTCCAAGCTCCAACGCACGTACATCCCCAGTGATATGGAAGGCACTGTAAAATTGTGACAGTCTCTCACTGTCTAGGCATGGTGCTGGTGCCCTGCTTATTTCTACCAGAAACTGTTAAAACTAGAGGGAGCTTTGGGCACACTCATCAGAGAATGACTTGTGCAAAGGCATACAGGTGGGTGATAGCCCCAAGCTGTGAGAGCCCCTTCTTCTTTCTTCTCTTCCTCCCTCCATTCTTTCCTCTGTTCCCTTCCATATGTCCATCCATCCATCCTTCTATCCACTTGAGAGCCTAGTTTGAGAGAGGGAGACCAGAGAAAGGAGGTGATGGCAGTGCAGTGGTTGGCATAAGGTTCTCATGCCAGCAAAGTGACTTGAGATTGAGGAGTCCACCTTGTCTCTAAGCAGGTGAGTAAAAATCACTGGAATAGGCTACTGGATAAATCAAATGAGAAATTAATGTACTAGAAAGTGAATGTGAGAGAACATCTTCCTGCTCCTTCAGAGAAAGTTAAACATTCCTAAAGACCTCTTGTACTTAATCCCCCAGGCCTGGTCCTGGAAAGCCCTCTAGTTCCCTTACAATCATGTGCCAAGGCCTTGCTAGTTTGCACACTTTAGTTGCTCAGTCATGTCCAATTCTTGGTGACCCCATGGACTGCACATTTACTGGCATACATTTACATATTGAGTTCAAGCCCTAATCCCAAGGACGGTAAAAAAAAATTAATGCAAAATGCTGCAATTATATTCTCCATTTTTTTTTTTCTGAGCAAGCATGTGTGAAATAGATAAAGATGTCATTTCAGTTAGTATGTTTAATGTCATCCTCCAGTAAGAGGAGGTATGCACATGGCCAGAATGTCCTGTATGTGACTGTTCCTGGTGCCCCTCGCATAGTGATCTTAGGTGACTCAGTTAAAGGTGGTTGCCTGTCAGCATGTTCAGTTCAGTCTGGTTCAGTCCCTCAGTCATGTCCGGTTCTTTGCGACCCCGTGGACTGCAGCACCTCAGGCTTCCCTGTCCATCACCAACTCCCGGAGCTTGCTCAAACTCATGTACGTCGAGTTGGTGATGCCAACCACCCGTTTCATCCTTTGTCGTCTTCTTCTCCTGCCTTCAATCTTTTCCGGCAACAGGGTCTTTTCAAATGAGTCAGTTCTTCACATCAGGTGGCCAAAGTATTGGCGTTTCAGCTTCAGCATCAGTCCTTCCAGTGAATATTCAGAACTGATTTCCTTTAGGATGGACTGGTTGGATCTCCTTGCAGTCCAAGGGACTCTCAAGAATCTTTTTCCAATACCACAGTTCAAAAGCATCAGCTCTTCCACACTCAACTTTCTTTATGGTCCAACTCTCATATTCATACATAACTCCTGGAAAAATCATAGCTTTAACTAGACGGACCTTTGTCAGCAAAGTAATGTCTTTGCTTTTTAATATGCTGTCTAGATTGGTCATAGCTTTACTTCAAGGAACAAGCAGCTTAATTTCATGGCTGCAGTCACCATCTGCAGTGATTTTGGAGCCCCCAAAATAAAGTCTGTCACTGTTTATGTTGTTGCCCCATCTATTTGCCGTGAAGTGATAGGACCGGATACCATGATCTTAGTTTTTTGAATGTTGAGTTTTAAACCAGATTTTTCACTCTCTTCTTTCACTTTCATCAAGAGGCTTTTTAGTTCCTCTTTGCTTTCTGCCATAAGGGTGGTCTCATCTGCATATCTGAGATTATTGACATTTCAATCTTGATTCCAGCTTGTGCTTCTTCCTGCCTGGCATTTTGCATGATGTACTCTGCATAGAAGTTAAATAAGCAGGGTGACAATATACAGCCTTGACGTACACATTTCCCAGTTTGGAAC